AATAAATATATATATATACTAGGGAATTATTAATACTTAGTAATAATCTATTATTCTGAATTATTAGGATTATTATAAGATCCTAATAATCTATTAGTAATTAGTTAGAAAAAGTAGAGTAATCTATATAACTTTAATATATAATAATATAGTTTATAATAATTAGGTTAATATAGCTATAATCTTTAAAAGTCTATATAATTACTTTTTTATAATTATAAAGTATTTAAATAAATACTTCTAATTCTTCTTTTATTAAGAATTCTTATACTTATATTAAAATAGTATTTAAATATTTCTTTATAAGCTTAGAGCTTTTTTTAATATCTAAGAACTTATTAGTAATCTACTTTAGAAAAAGATATAATATATTAAGTATTAAAAAAGTCTTAATCTATTTCTTTTCTTACTAATTAGTATTATTATTAGATATTAAACTATTAAATAGAATATTATTAAAAGAGTTAATTTTCTTATACTTTAGTTTATATATTATATTTATACTAATATCTAGTACTTTAGTATCTCTATTAAAATACTTTTTAAAGTATCTTATCTTATTCTTATAAGAATTATTTTACTTAGTAATTTATTTATATTACTTATTATAAATAGATAATTAGATTTTTAAGATTTTTTAGAGAATAATTTTAGTTTTATTATTAAAGATAGGAATAATAATATCTTTCTTCTTAATCTCTATATTTATAATTCTATTAATATCTTCTAAAGAGATATAAAATATTTATAATAATTCCTTAGAATTAGAATTTACTTAATTAAATAGTTTATTAAGTTTTTTTATTTCTTAGAGTTTTAGTTTTTTTAGTAATACTAGATTTATACTAAGTTATTTCTCTATATAGAGAGCTATAATTATTATTATATAGATATTAGATATATACTCTTATATAATCTAATTACTAATATAAATAAATAGATTATTAGGTTTTTCTATTTTCTGGATTTTTACTTTATTTACTAATATAGAATATATACTTAATTACTTATCTATATAAAAAGCTATAATTATCTTAAGTATATTAGAATTTCTATAGTAAACTTCTTTTATAATAGTAATTATTATATAGATACTACTAATAATAGTTTATATAAGTAGATTATTATTTTTATTTCTATAGTTAAAGGAAATCTAATAGAATTTAATAAAAGATATTTCTAGAATAAATTTAATAGAGAATACTTTCCTACTTTTTATTATATAGATAATCTATTTTAAGGGAATACTTTTAAAGAATATTTTTATATATATCCTTCTAATTATTTCTATTATATAGTTTAAGAAAGAAGTTATAGTTATATTAGATATTAGATAGATTACTAGGTTATACTCTTAAGCTATCTTAAGAGCTATAATATTAACTTAAGTCTCTATATTAACTAAAGTATTATAAATTTAACTATTTACTTATTATAGTTAAATAAATATATAAAAAAGATTCTAATAACCTTTAACTATTTATTCTTCTAGATAGTTTAAGAGTATATAGTTAACTAATATCTAGTTAGTTTATATAGTTTCTTAAGGGTTTATAATAGCTTATTTCTAAATTAATATTTTTTCTTTTATATTAATTAAATTATATTCTACTTTATTAAAATCTAATTAATTAAATACTTCTAGATATTAGTTATAATTTAATTTATATAGTTATAAAGTTATAAACTAAAAAGTAGTATTTTTACTACTTTTAGAAGAATAATTCCCTATATTATTTCTAATAGTATATCTATAAATTTTATTATATAACTCTTAGACTAATATAATCTTATCTATAATCTATTTAGAACCCTTAGAATCTTAGATTTTAATTATATTAGCTCTAGTATTATATCTCCTAGGTTAATATAATAGGATATTATTACTTAATAGAGTATTCTTAACTACTTATTTAGATCTATATATTTAACTATAATATTTCTCTATAAAAAGTTCTCTAAAGATAGAATTAAATTAGATAATTTTAAAGATCTTTAGAATAATCTTATTATTCTTAATAGTTTTTATAACTAATTACTTTCTAGCTAGTTCTTACTCTATAATCTCTTTATATAGACTATTTATTATATTAATTACTTATAGAGAGTTATAATCTATTAGATCCTTATACTTTATTAATATATCTTTAGATTTATATTATATAATATATAAAAAGCTATCTTTATTCTATTTTCTATATTTTAAATTAATTAAATTTATTTTAATTATATAAATATAATTTATTTAATTAAATAGTTCTAATTTATTATAGTTTATTTTAATACTTAGATTAATCAGACTAATATAAAATATTATTATTAATTCTAATCTTTTAAATCCTTCTTTCTTTATTATTACTATTATATAGATTAGAAGATATTTATTATTCTTTAGAATAAGGATTTTAAAAGCTTAATAATTCCCTACTCTCTTTATAACTTAGTTTATAGCTTCTTCTTTCTTTAGAGTAATTACTTATCTTATTAGATTAGAGTTATATATCTTCTTTATATACTAAGCTAAGTTAAGATTATAATAAGAAAATTATCTTATATAGTAAATAATAAGCTTTCTAATACTTAATATCTACTTATAGTAATTAACTAGTATAGAGAGAACTTCTTCTCTTTTAGCTTCTAAATATAAAGTACTAACTAAGTATTTATAGTAAATAAACCTAGTTTCTTTATTAATCTTAAGATCTATATATTAATTAAGATAATAATTAGGTTCTTTATAGTACTAGTATATATTATTATAATTATAAGATATTAGAGTATTAATTTCTATTAGATCTATTTAATTAAATCCTTAGTTATTAATTAATTTATTCTATATCTTAATTAAGTTTATATAGCTATCTTAAGAGTTCTACTTTATTAAAATTTAGATTTATAGTTAAATCTTAGTTATCTTTAAAGAGAAAGAGATTAGGATTTTAATTCTCTTATCTATCTATTATATAGAGATAGCTAAATTATTTATCTATATTATTAGATTATTTATAGAGATTTTAATAGTTTTTTTTTAACTAAATTAAAGTTCTATAGTAGTTTTTTTCTAATAGGAGAATAATTCTAAAATCTATACTTACTTTAAGATTTTAATTTACTTAATTAAGAAATTTTATAACTAGATTATATATTATTCTTACTATTTAGTTTTATATAGAGTATTTTTCTTATTAATTTATCTATAGTTTTTAGAGATTTTAATTTAGTTATAGATAAATATAATAAGTATTTCCTATAGAGTTTTATATAGAAGAAAATAGAGTTTTTTTATTATAAAACCCTTTTTATTTTAAATTCTATAGAATATCTCTAAAGATATTAGTTTATAAAAATTCTCTAACTAGCTTATAAATAATTCCTAAGAGAATTTTTAATTTTTCTTCTAGTAGTAATAATATTTAATAAGAATATCTTTAATCTTATAGAGATTATTTTCTAGTTTTATTTTATTAATTTATTTAATCTTCTTTATTAGAGAAATTATCTAATTATAATTAAGATATTAGTATTCTTTCTTAAGAATAGCTTTAACTTTATCTTAATAGTTTAGATTTTTAATATAATATTTAATTTATAGCTATTTACTATTAGAGATATTAAACTCTAACTAGATAAAATAATACTTTTTTAATAAACCTCTTAAGTTTATTATATTATTATAGTTCTTAAGAAATAAGATTATATTATAACTATTAAATTATTAGTTAATTATAAATATATAAGTAAAGGGATTAATTTTTTTAATAATATATATTAGTACTAATATAAATTTATTTTAAAATAATCTATCTTAATAGCTACTACTAGTTAAATCTCTCTTAGTATTCTTAAGTATTATTAAAAGTATCTAATTAAATAATTAAACTAATTCTTATAGTAATTCTATTATAAAAGTTAGAATAATAATAAAATAAATAGTAAAAGAAGAGATTATCTATATCTAAAGAATAGTACTATATTTATCTATATTAACTTCTCTTTTAGAGATTTTAATTTAATTTCTCTTTCTTTTTTATTTCTTAACTAAGTAAATAAAAGGAATAGAATAATAATAACTCTATCTTTTTATCTAATTTCTTTTTAAACTTCTAACTTATATAATAAATTCTTTAACTCTTCTAAACTAGACTAGTTTAGAGATAATTAGTTTTTATTAAAATTAAACTTCTTAATAATCTCTTAAGATTAATAAGAAGTCTAGGTTTTAATTAAAATCTTTAATTAATATATTAGTTAGTAATTAGAATTAAATATATATCTATAGTTATTATATTCTTCCTATCTTATAGCTCTTACTTATAAAATTCTTATATATAAGTTCCTACTAGAAAAGAGTTCTTATAATAATTAGAAAGTATTATAGTTATTTTCTTTTTATTTAATTATTTTAATCTATAGATTAAGATTAATTTAAGTTACTAAGAGTATAATTATATATTTCCCTATTAAGATCTCTATTTATATTAGAGGAAAAATAAATAATACTATAGCTATTAATAAACTTAAAATATAGACTACTAATTATACTAAAATCTAATAATCTTCTATAATAGCTATAAAAAGAAGATTTTAAGTTTTATATATATTCTTATTTAATTAAATAGTTTATATTTATAGCTAGTTAATTAATCTATTATAGCTATTATAATATAGCTAAAAGATATATCTTTTATAAGAAGGAGTTTTTAAAAGTAAAAATAATAATAGGTAAAAGGATATCTTTTTCTACAGATACTGAAAAATAGCTAATTTATCTAACCCAGCTAAATTAACAAGTAGGCCCCGACTTACTATCTTATTCCAGGCTATTGTTGATTTTTGCTTCCAAGTTTTAGTCTTTTTTTGGGCTTTTTTCCGAATCACTCCCTTGTTTCTCGAAATCTTCACGCCTACGGTCCATGTTTATGCGTAGGTCATCTAACTTGTTATCTCGCAATAGTCGTCACCAATCGTTCCATGAGACCGGAAAAGATTGCAATGTGCCTTTAGTTGTCGACAAAGCACTGGGCGCTCTTCCACAGGTATCCGGAAGGTCCTCGGGAGTTCAAGCATCCAGGTCCACCGTCGGGCCAGTAGGTCCTCTGAATGTCCTGTTTGCCAGCGCATTTGAAGTCCGAGTAGACCTTGCAGTGGCCCTTCTTGGTTGCGCTGGTATCCTTGCCCCAAACGCCAACTGCGTTCAGGCTCAGCACGCCGTCGGCCAGATTTAGATCGAAGCAGTCTCCAACCTTGGGGCTTTTCCCGTAGTACACCATTCGGTTGGAGCCAAACTTGGCGCAAATGCTGTCGGTGTAAGTGTTGATCTGAACAGCCTGGCCCTGGGGACCAACTGCAACCGCGGGGCTGGCAATGCCGGCAATGAGAGTGCCGGCGGCGAGGATCGAAGCGGGCTTCATTTTGTTGATGGTTTGGGAGTATTGATAGAAATTTGTGAGTGTCTTGAAGTTGTTTTTTGTTGTGGAGGAGTTGAGACCGTATTCTAGCGGATGATCCTCTGGCTTTTATAGAATTTAGTTGTCACCAATTCGTGTCCTTTCCTGGACAACTCGAGTCCCCATGTCCGTGCAATTCACCACCACTTGTGGCATCTCGTTGTTGAACCTGTGGCATCAAGCTGCTCATTCAACCTCGAGGCACTTGTCGATGGGTTGAGATAGCCACCAACAGTCTATTGTGGTAGCTCGTAATTGCAAGTCTGAAGTGTTTGTCATCTACCGTGATAGTTAAGAATTGACCATTGAAGCGGGTGGCGGCAACAAAAGCCGTCTCCTGCTACGAGCTGCCAAAAGAGCACAAGGACTTATGTATACATGTCGGAGCCGCAACGGGCTTGGGGACTTAATAAATATTTACCTAAAAATTAAAATGATTTGAATTTAGTGTACGTCAGACATGCATGTCCCCTGAGCCCATAACTCCCGCCACATAGGAGTAAGCAACCCTACCCAGATCCGAAGTAAGCAACAACCTACCGGTGGTTTGGGTCGGACTTAAGGTGCCACAACACCTTCTTCAGTCCGATACTTTTCTGCTCGCATGAAATCTTCGAGCGAATCAGACTGCAAGTTGCAACATCTTGGGTGTCTGCGATCTCAGCTGACTGGGCAGCAATCCAAAGCGCTTTGCATAATATGGCCGGATAATCCGCCGAAAGGGATCAGAACCATGACAGAAAATTAACTCTAGGTATAGCAAGGCAGAGTTTTAACAAGTTCTTCCCACAATTTTTCGTTACATACATGGTAGTCTGGCAAGGGGATGTATCCCGTAGGCTACTATGACCTTGCGGTTGCTGGCCTTCCTGCTCATGCCAGCTGCTTTCGGCCTCTCACAGAGGAGTCGCTCGCCCATAATGCATTTCGCGTTTTCACCTCCCCCCTTCGCCTTGGGTTGATCTAAGACAAGTCTCTTCGGTCGAAAGCTACCGAGATTTTGAACAATCGCAAGGAGTTGATCGAAGAATACGAGAAGAACCAGCGATGCTTTACCTCTGCAGTGGCTGAAGAGTCTATCAAAGAAGCAATAGAAACTTTCCGCTGGCATAAGACCTCAACTGTAGAAATAGCCACCTGCAAAGAACTTCAGGCACTGCATCCTCTTATTACAGATTCTGTGTGTTCCAAAGGACCTTCTGTCCACCCCAACATTACGGCGGAACTCAACCCGCCCTTATATGAAAGCGACCTGCTTACAATCACCATCGACACGCGAATGGAGTAAACTCCATTCGCTAATTTGATTGTAAGGAATTGTGATTTAAATGACAACAGACTTAGTGCCTCTTAGTAACCCTCTCACTTGCCATCCCCAGGCATCTTAACAAATACCCTGGTGGCTAGCTCAAGTGTCACTCACCATGAATTTTTCTCACAGCGTGCAATTGTAGCTTCGATGTAGGTACTAAGGCTCGATTTCGCTCAACATCTCCAACCTCTCAAAGTTTTGGCTCAGGGAACTGGGGTGTTGCCCAAGGAGAGTACTGTCGGTGATCCAGAAAATTGCAAATACTGTCCCTTGCTATGATCGGTTCTGCACGAGCTTGGAGGAGAGAAAGGATTGTAAGGAAATTAAAAGTGTTGGAGGAAATTTTCTTCGAGTGAGACACTTCTGAAACTTGCAAGTCTAAATAGTGACAAGATTAGAAACCAGGAGATGTCATGTAGTTTATTTTGTAAAGAAGCCATTTCCTCTAGCTTTCTGAATGGCATCAAACCAAATGCCGGCCATTATTTGGTAGCCCGTATCGCCCGGATGTGTCCCATCAACTAGATCACCAACTTGCGGTCCCTCAGCGCCGTGCATATCCGCAAGGACAATCCTACTGTTACGGCTAGTCTCTTGTGCGACGAAATCTCGTATCTGCTCATTTACGCGTAGCACTCGTGAATTCACCTTGTCATCGGCGTTGACGAGAAGCGTGGATAGTACAACTGTTGAAGACGGATCTGTTTGCCAGAGGAAATGAACTATGTCGCTCATGCGCTCTCCGAACTCATCAAGTTTGAAATCCTGGATGCAATCATTGGATCCGGCGTTGATCGCGAAGACGTTTGGGGCCAACCTTCCAACAGAGCTCCTGACCTTCTTGTCTATCTGATCAAGCCTATACCCCCGCCAACCTTCATTTTCATTGTTGCCCATGGAGCCCGACTTGCGCGAGCCGACAATGGCAGGGTCGTAGCCATGAGCGACGAGCATCGCGCGGAGAAATTCTCGGTAGCCGTTACCACTCGATGACCCAACGCCGTACGTGACCGAACCCCCTAGCGGCATAAGCCTCAATGAGGTCTTCGATGTCGGCTGGACCAAATGGTCTACAGAGATCCTGCGTAAGTAGGTTGCAGTGGTGAGGTTGCTTAGGGAAATTCAGACAAGATGAAACAGTAGACAAAACGCACCATGATGAGGAGACTGCGAGGAGCAGGATGAACTGTGAATCGCCCGGCCAAAGCCTGCCACAGTGAATGTGATGGCTTTTAAGGCGCATGGTCGTTCGCCCGGAGCCAGCGATTGGCGTAGCAAAGGGCTAAAAGGCCTGATGCCGTGCTGAATCATTTTTAAATCTACCTCGGCATGGGTAGGTACATATACATTTGATGTTGATGTGATGATGCCTTGGTTAAATTGCTTGGCTTCAGCGCTCGGATCCCTTTATGTCCGGCTGATTTGCAAGCTTGCCGACACCGGCTCGGTGCAAAGCTATTCCTTCCGCCGACCGCTAAGTTACTCCTTTTATACAAGCCCCTCTCCTAATTTGTGCTTTTGATAGCACTGGGCCTCTACAATTTAGAACAAGCGGAAAACGGTCTGCGAGTCTTGGTTGAGCCTTAGGCGTGAAGAGCTACATGAATAGGGCCACGTACAGAATCCCGGAAACAATAGGTTCTGAACTTAGACTGGACTCGGCTCATTCAAAGATTACCATGGCCTCAAACCCCGAGTATCTGTGTCATCTGTCCATAGGATCATTTTTGAGCATCGCCAGTCTCGTCTCGATGTTGCAGTGTCTTGAGCTCCATCAGTAACTACATGGTTTATATTCACCCCTCTAGGAATTTTTATTGCTGTATGGGTTGAATTTTTTTCAACTCTCGATTTATAAATTGTAAACTACTAATGAGATCAGTACAAAGCTTTTTAATTTCTATATTTTTTTTTTAGGATTAACTCTACTTCAATAAAAGCTAAGAAGGATCTATCTAATTACACGTATTGGGTGATCCCACCAGTCGGAGCCAGGTATACTGCTCATACACGAGGCAGCGCCTTTCCCAACCAAGTACGGCACTGCAGCACAGTTCGCGATTTAGACCACTTTATGAAATCGCGCTTCGAATTCCCCTCGACACTAGCGAGCAGCCTATTCTATTTGGCTCCCGGAACTGGATTTGTGCTGGGTAGTAGTATCGGCGGTATCCTCTCAGATCGCACTTTTAACCGTTATATGAAAAAGCGCAACGGTCTGAGATTGCCGAGGGGTAAGCTTCGAGCCGGCTTGTTGAACATGCTTGCCATCCTACTAGGCACTAACCTAGCTTTCGGTTGGAGTTTGGAAGAAAAGGTGGGAGGTATAGCTCTTCCAGCAGCCAGTGCTTTTTGTGCTGGCGTTAGCCTGATGGCATCTTTTAGTAGCGTAAATACGTACGCAGCTGGTAGGACCATTCCACAACGAATTTGAGTGTACCCATATCTAAAGAGACTGCAGACCGCAGATCAAGGCGAATGTGAGGTTGACGGCTATTATAGTCTTAAGTTCAGATGTGTTCTCGGTCCGAGTTCTGCTGAGTCGGCAAAATGTGTGCGGAGCACTCACCTGTTGAAAGCAGCCGACTGGAGGAGGAGAATGCCGTCGCAGACCTGCAAGTTAAATGTATCTAGCCAGCCCTTTCCTCCAATTGCTAAATAATTCATCTGCTTAACCTTTGGCGCTCTATCAGGTATAATGTTATGCGTGATGTTTCTAACCCTTCTTCAACGCCCTCGTCCATACCCACGCGGGACCGGCACCGGATCCCTCACACCCCAGATGTGGCTGTGAGGCCCTCTATAATACACTCTCGCCCGTCCGGCGACTGTACCCTTGTGGATGCCCTCTACCACTGCCAATGTAGCACGCAAGGGGCGTGCGAATAAGACGTGGTGCCAGCATTTGCCGAACAACTCATTCACACGCAAAAGATTGATAGCCTAAATAGACTATGAGAACCTAACGTAGTAATAGGAAGAGCATACCACTATAGAAAGCAGAGAAAGGCATGCATCGGACGGCCATCCAGATCCGGCCACATCACCTCCAGATGATAGTGTCCATTGCAGCCTATCCGGTGTAACTCTTTCCCTGATCGAGGGGTTCATGTTGAAATTATCTATGCCTACGGATACCCGGATCAGATGTGAGAATCTGAGTTTCACGCTATTATATCATTTTTTCGTCTAGTCTATCTAGTCTAGCTCGTGATACATCCGAAAACAGAAAACTTCAAGGAGATCATCTTGAACTCTATTTTGGAGAATTACTCTTATGATGGTCTAGGAAAGTAAGTTTCTTCTCCAGCTTCGACCGAGTGTGAACGCGTGCTGACGGAGGCTACACCCCTAGATCTTATTTCTTAGCTATGAGCCGTGAAAGCTTAAGGCCATATCCTGTCTTGCAGATTTTGATCCTTAAAGAAAACACATCATACATTTTGTGTTGTTTTGACTTCAACCTCTTGAATTTATAGCGAGAAATCTCTCACCATGTCGATTTTCTCCTATTTCCGCCAAGACAGAGCAAACAACAATGTTAAAACTTCACACAAGGCGCCCGACATCCAGCGTTTCCTCGATTACACAACAAGTTCTCACCTAAACAGCCAAGTGTCAGCAAGTAGCGACAAAAGACAATGTGATGCTTTCGCGAATGCGCCTCTCTTCTCCCTCGCAGCCCAAACTGCTGCCGAGGAACTTTCGTGTCGAACGTCTAACGCTCAACTTATACCGCAGTATGGGCTAATCGGCACCCGCGAAGATGTCGATGAGCTGACGGCCGCGCCCGAAGACCAATTTATCATGGCGAACATGAATGTTCCTTGGTCAGCATTCATATGTGGCTCCCAAGGGGCTGGCAAGAGTCATACTCTCTCATGCCTGCTTGAAGCATGCCTGATCCAGAACAACCCAACAGGAACGCTGTCCCATCCCATCGCAGGCTTAGTGTTCCATTTCGACAAATTTACAAGTGACAGCGCGACACAGATTTGTGAAGCTGCATATCTTTGCTCTGCAGGGATTCCTGTCAAAGTCCTTGTCGCCCCGTCCAACATCTGGAACATGGATAGCAAGTATCGCGATCTCCCGGGTATCGCAGAAGATAGGCCTCACCCTCAGGTGGCGCCATTGTACTTGGATGACTCGAAGCTCAGCATCTCAACTTTGCTAAAGTTGATGGCATTTGACTCAACCGGGAGTGGTACACCGTTGTACATGGAAGTTGTGACCAGAATCATACGCGAGATCTCCATGGAAGGCAGCCACTTCACTTATGGCTTATTTAAAGACAGGTTGTCGGCAACGAAACTCTTTCAGACGCAAGAGACGGCGCTCAATATGCGACTCCAGTTACTCGATACATTTCTAACACCAGAGTTGACGCCCCATTTGAGGAAACCAAGCGCCGCCGAACAGGATATATGGGATTTCCAGCCTGGCACTCTGACAATCGTAGACCTTAGCGATCCTTTCCTATCATCTGACGATGCGTGCAGTTTGTTCTCCATTTGCCTATCGATCTTCTTGGAGGAAAGATACAACTGTAGTCGGGTGGTAGCTCTAGATGAAGCTCACAAGGTACTGAGTAACTGATTGCTATTCTGTCAGAAGGGGACTAACGATTGACGGCTTAGTTTCTGACACAATCTGGAGCAGCGAATGTACTGACTGAGGATCTCACCTCGGTTGTCAGACAACAACGGCACATCAGCACGCGAGTTTTCACAGCCACGCAAGAACCAACACTCTCATCATCACTAATCAACCTCTCGAACGCGACATTTGTGCATCGATTTTCGTCCCCTGCTTGGTTCCGTACTCTCAAAGGCCACCTCACTGGTGCCATGGGAAAGAGCGATAGTGCTTCGCCGCAGCAAGAGTCAGACGTTTTCCAGTCTATCACAGAGCTACAAACGGGAGAAGCACTGGTGTTTTGTCCTACGGCGCAGACTCGTGTCCTCAGAGAGAAGAATACTGTTATCAATCAATCGCTCGGCTCGCGATTCATGCGAGTAATGATGAGGAAGCGAGTCACCTTTGATGGAGGTGTTAGCCTCGTGGCAACTGCGAAACCACACGCCACACGCCCTTCTCACCAAATCGAGAACGGCAGAATCAAGATGCACAATCCTGCACCAAGAATCTCAAAAAAAGAAAAGACAAATACTCCCAACTCGAACACCCTGCCCCTGACGCAGCATGACCGCCATGCTCAGACAAAGAACAACATTCCAGACCGGAGCCTCCAGGCAAGAAACCCTCAATCCAAGCGATCTTCCTCCAATCAAGTGACAAGCTCAAGCCTTTCGACAAGTCAGAAGCCAGACCAAGCGAAAGTTGCGACAAATAATAAAGTCAAAGTCAAGAGCCGAAAGCAGATCATCTCGCTGGCCCAACGCTACGCTGATAGACTTGCTGAGCAAAAGTCACGGGATCATACGACGCTTCTCAATGAGCCTGAACGCCAGAGTCACCTCATGACATTCAAGACAACGTTTGAACAAGAACCCAAAGTCTGTAGTACCAGCGACGTGAAGCACCTTTTTTTGAGTGTATTAGGGGATAAACTGGTGAGGAATAAGCTTATTTTCAACACGAAACGGCTCAGGCTGATATACAGTATACAGGCAAACCTTAGGGTGACTTGAATAACTTCAAAGGAAGCTACCCAACTGTTGTCGAGACCAAGTAAGAAGATAGCGATTGTGGTCAGGGATTATCGCAACGAGGGCTATGACGCTGATGTTTATATAATCAGCACTGCTTATTCTGCAAAGCACTCGGTATATTTGCTCTCAACACTCAGTCTTATATTAGGTGAGTTACATATCGCCTTAAGAGGTAAGCCGGTGTGGAAATAGAGCAACCATTCCATGCTGGAAAAGAATGTCCCCCACATCAAGTCGATCTTTGCGAAGGTCGCAAACGGGGCTACTGTCAGAAAATGAGATGGTTTTAGGTTCTAATATTAAATTGATAAAACTAGAAATGTTTATATTTTAAAGGCCAGGTAGCATATTAGGATCACCGCCCACGAGCCGATGTACAGCAAAGAATGACTCCTACGCGACTCAATATGATATGTTATTATCGTGAATTAGCATAGCGACTATGTATCAATATGGAAGGAAAAGTTTTGTCACGGAAAAACAAGTCAATCAAAAGTTACAGTCTTTGGTGCGTTGGTCTGGACAAAACTATTAGAACTCCTTCCCACCATCAGGCATGTGTCAGGTAGGCTAGGCCATTAGGAAGACAAATTGTGGGCAGCTCAACAGGAGGATTGAAATTCAGGGACTTGAGGGAGGCATATAGAAGCGTAGTGATCCCAAAAACCATGTATGCTTGCTCGGCGTGGTCCAATGCTCGCTGGCAAATACACGGAACTCCTATACCAAACATACTCTAGCAAAGCTGAGAGCCTACAGGCCAGGGCAGCAAGGGTTCATGTTATGCCAACATAACCAGCTGTCTCCAGAACGAAAAGGCCCATCCGCGGTAGTCCTGACACCATCCACTTGAGGATAGGACAATTGGGACTACAGCTATGTTTGTCATGGTGTCTCGCCAAGAGCCGGTCAGAGTTCTCCATCAAGTAATAAGTGTGTAAACTTTAGTAAGGTGGTTCCCATGTATTAAGTAAGTATATGCGCAGTGCTCAAATGACGTTGAAAGCCACTTCCTGGTCTCACAGGACCCTAGGAGCTATCGACTTCCCATTGCCGAGTGACAGTGATGGCGTTCCCGTTGTTCTGATCTGAATCCCCCCCGTGATCGCTGCGTATAGTGGTGAGGGGAATGTCGTCCTCGAGGCGTCGGAAGTTATGGTCCCTTATATACTGGGCATTCTGCCGCTCGCGGTTTCTGGAGATCTTTGTATCTATCGGCGTGCCTTGTGAGTCATGCGAGCTCCAACTTGCTACAACATCCCCGAAGATGCGCTTCATGGCCGGCTGTATTGTCGGGAGACACGCGTTGACTACACCAAGGCAAGGCTCCAAGACGGAGTAGATCGACACGTTGGTTGTCGCATATGTCACATCATCCAAGTCCCATTGAGCGACTCATATGACGCGCAGCATTGAAATAATACATATTCTACTCCTCCGTTAGATTCCACAGTGAAGCGGTTTGGGCAGACCCGACTCACATTCCTCCAAGACCGAACATTCCTGCGATGCTCAGCCGCTTCTGGAGGGACATTCGCAGTCCGAATAGCATTGGCATTGGCAAACCGACGATGAATACATCAATAAGGAGGTTGGTAATAGCGGCACCAAGAAATGCGGCGGTCTGGTGTTCGCAATTGCCACCGGGAATATTCTTATCCCAGTTGAACTCGACTGGAGTACAGAGTGCAAAAGTTTCCACAATCACACTTGCAAAATAACACAAAGTGACAGCAATAGCGACATAACAAAGGTAGCAGAACCGCTTGACTGGGAACAAGATGGTGTACAGCGATATGATTGACAGCTTGACGCAGGTGTTCGCTGCCGCCCAAAGCAGCTGGCCCGGTACTATCAACTGGACAATGCTGAGCATCAGTATTGGCAGAGATTGATGTCAATAGAAACAGACCTTGAAATAGGTGTCTAGTATGCTGGGGTCATTTGCCATGATATCTGCAACATGCACACCTGTTGCGCCGACGATTGCATCTAAATTATCGTAACAAGTAAGCAACCAAAATCTGCACGGGAATGTGGCCATCCTACCTCCAAGGTTGACACCTACGCCACCAATAGCTAGTATAGTTGCTGCTATGACTGAATAATCATTGAACTTGAACCCCGTCTTCTTTATGTACCTTGACCAGCATCGAAGAGCCAAAGCAAGTATGGACAGGAAGGCCGAAATTGACCCGGTTACCGTCACCTTCAGAGCACCTGAAGAAAGTGACATTTCAATTTTACCCCAGGCAGCTCTGAATTCATTAGCACGGTACGGAGTTGATCGATGGGACGATAAACGAAGAGGTGCACCGCGGTTGCAGGATTCGTAGGCGTCAGATATAGGAGCGGAGGCAAGCGCTCGAAAAAATAATAGACATAATGACGTGTTCGCAAAACCTTTAGCACTCGCTTAGTATGGCAGTTGATCGCCGTCGTAGGGCCTTTTTGAACTTTCGAGGACCAAAGGATTTGCTGTTAATTGCAAGGACCTACGGTAGGGTTGCAATGTGAATTAATACTACCTGGGGTTCCCCGGAGGAAGCCCCGAGGTGTGTAGTTACAAAGAGGGTGAGGAAAAGCGAGGCGAGTGTAGCAATCAACCAGCCGTGCTTACTTCCTCCAAATATTGTACCCTTATACAACTATTGTACAGCAAACGCCTAGGGGGCACTACTTGGTATCGAAGATCAGCCAGGACTACCGCTCATGTGTATCGAAGGCTAAATCGAAAGCTAGGAGAAATTTCAAAGTCTTCCTAAGTGATCGACTATAAATATGTAGATGACATATATGGCGGTGCTTTCAAATATTTCCCCGTCCAAAAATGAATGAAAGGAACAGCAGGGGCCGATTCTTATTCAACAGCTTCAACATTTAGATGAACCAACTACCGAGAAATGAATTTTGAATTAAAGAAAATGGCGAGCTCCAAGGCGCTGATATCAATGGCTTCGACAGTTACAAGCACCAGAAATCAGGCAGCGATCGGGAGCGGGTACACCGAAAACTCAAACTTCTCCATAATCTGCCTTGATCAAGTCTGCGGCCTTCTCCGCAATGGCATATACAGTAGACTGTAGGTTCCCAGTGGTAATGATCGGGATTACACTGGAGTCGACAATCCGAAGATTGTTGATACCATGTACCTTGAGCCGAGTGTCTACGACGCCCCCCTTTTCCTCGGGGAGCATCGCACATGAGCCGGCGTAATGCCACATGGAGATCGCATTAGCTCGAATGTATGCTTTGGCGCTGTCCAGGTCGGTGAAATTCGAGGCTGGGTCCAGGTACTGCAGTGGCTGTTCTAGGAGCTTGCTGAAAGGCGACGAACCTGCAAAGTTCCGCAGGTACTTCATTTGATGTGCAAGTATTTCGATGTCGACAGGATGGGATAGATACTTTGGATCTATTGCAGGATTTTCAGAGGGCTGCTTAGATCTTATGTGGACGTTACCCAGAGAGAGTGGATGGGGAAGATAGGCGACCAGCGTGAGCCAAGTACCCGGCACGGGAGTTGGTCCAGCTTGACCAAGTGCAGAGAGAAAGACCCCGGTTGGCTTTGTGCGGTCGGTGAGAAGCTTTGCAAGAAAGCCGTGGAGATCTGCAGCGAGACTCTCATGGACATTCCCCGCTGTAGGTTGGTTCTCGTGCAGGAGCTTCTCCAGAGCTTCAGTGGTGTCTCGTGGAAGCTCCGCAGTAGTAGGCATATATGCGTAAGTAGTCATGCCAGAAGATGCTAATATACCCGTTTTGTGTGTTTTGTACTCCTCCGTTGCAAAGAAGAAGGCATCTACCTCCTCTCTTGCAAGCGGGTCCATGGTGTTTAGTCCATCTATGGCTCGTACACCAATAGGGCAGACTACGTGGTCCTGCAGATTCTCCCCAACTCCAGGGAGTTCCTTGACCACCTGTATGCCGTTGCCGCTGAGCACTCTGGCGTTGCCGACTCCTGACAGCTCCAGCAGTTTTGGAGACTGTAAAGCACCCGCGGCTAGAATGACTTCTTTCACGGCTGTGGCAATATGAATCTCATCATTCTTCATGCCTATGGCACCATGGCTCAAATCAAAATCACGATATTGCACCCCAGTAGCTTTAATGGCTGAACCTTCCGTTTCGAAAATAATTCGCTCCACGACTACACATGTAAGGACCTTAAGGTTGTTGCGGTGCGCGATGGGTCTGTAATAGGCGCTGGTTGCGTAACTCCTTTCTTTAGTCGAGCCGTCTACCGTTGCAAGGCAGTTAAAGGCGCCGGTAGGTTCGCGGAGCCAAGGATCTGGGGATACATAATGCCCCTGGGCCTCAAAGGTCCCTTTCCAGGCTTCATGAATAGGATGAAGAGGGTCTCCAGGTAGCGAAACCTGAATTGGACCGTGGGAACTCTGCTCCAAGGGTGATTGGCCATCGGTCATCTTGGTAGCTCCTGGAAATGTATGAGATTTGGCATAATAAGCTTCAAGACCCTGCCAATTCCATCCCTGATTGCCAGACTTCTCCCATGCATCAACAGCGTGTTTTCCTGGGGGGACGAACACCTGAGCATTGATGGTGCTGGAGCCCCCAAGAGTGCGGCCTTGGTGTAGGTTAATCGTCCTTCCATTGAGTTGAGGCTTCACAGGCATGAGCATGGGAGACATTCAATGACTCGACATTATCAACTCACCTGAGGCTCCGACTTGAAGTCCCAATCGGAATCTGAATGAAATAAGCCAGCATAGAAAGCCGGAGTTTTGACGCGCGGGTCGTCAGCGTGTTCCAAGCCGGCTTCTAGGACAAGCACGCGATGGGCCGGGTTCTCGGACAGGCGTGATGCCACCACAAGCCCTGCCGTGCCTCCACCGACGATCACGAAGTCAAACGACGTAGGGGTCATTTTTCTCCAATTTTCGATCATCTAGCTGGACGCAAGTTGTAGAACAAGGCTTGAAGTCGCCAATTGGTGCGACGATAGTTCAAATTAGAAAACTAGGAAGAAAAAAGAATACTGGATAATCCAATGGTCGAGATGAGGAGGTTGCAAAGCAGCATGACGAGAAGAAAAGACAGCACATACCGGCATGACGCGTTATTTCATGGCCTTCCTATAGAATCATGCGTCATGCTCCCGCACCCAGGGCCGTGTCCGTAGTCATAAGCGGTAGACATGGTGCCAACGGCCGAATTAACGTACTCAGCTTTGTCCGAACCAAAGTACCAACCTTTCCGCGGTGATCGTCCAGAATGATGAGCGTAGACGATCAGTTGCGGAGTAATGCTTGCTAGTGGTGGAACACTTGCACATGCCAAGCCCGTGTTACAATCGACGTATCACACCTTGCCGAGCATAATTTCCAAGCCTTGATGGAGGTGCCGTACAACCAAAACTTGGGGTCGCAAAATTGACCTGTTGGCCATACACGACATAATGGCAAGCTGCAGGGTGACAGGATTTGGTACTTCTGTCTTGGCCAATCACTGCTTTGTTTTCGAAAGAATGCCAACAGTAAGACATGCATTGCCACCAACAAATGTAACACCGGATGGAGTGTGGTCCATCGTCGTATCGGGCTTCACCAATGAGCATTGGGGGTGCGGATCGAGCCGCGACTTGATGAACCCAGCGAGATGCATGATTGATGACAGGTAGAGCACCATCGCCCAATGACAGCACCACCTTGACCACCTCTATGTTTTGGCATCTTCTCTGCGGCTGTCTAGTATGAATAACACCCTGACCCCGACGATCCCACCCGACGTTGCAGAGGTCCTGAAGCTGCATTGTAGCTAGTCAGCATAACACCATTGATGATACCAGCCATTTTAGGCTATATAGCCAAATGACAAGAACCCAGCTAGCATTGAAAGTCCACTCAAGGACAGGAGCAGACGATATTCAGGCTCATATACTCCGCGGTTTTTCCTTGAGCAGACTTTGGTGATCCAATCACCAAGTTTGCCTAGGGAAAGGAGCGCAATGAGTACCCCAATGACGCTCCCGAGGGACAAGTAGCCGACGGCCGCTGCTGTCAAGTTGTAAGGTGGAAAACCAAAGATTTGAGCCATGACAAAGGTGCAAGACACAAGCATAACGTATGACCAAGCTTGCAAGAGGAGTATGTATGTCACAACAGCATTAGCATGGACGCAAATAACGTCAACGAAAAGTGAGAAAAGATTAACACCTGAGACTGATCCATGCCATATGGATGGCTGCACCCAAGTTTGCTTCTGGACTGCAACGGACGCCAGAGTAACGCTGCATGAATAATCTCTCACTGTTGGAAAGTAGACGGATTGAAATAATTATTCTGATGGTCCTAAATCCTAAATACATCCGTCTATATCGATATATTATTTTTGATAGAAACAAAAAGGCTTTTAGAATTTGGTGCTTGGCTGCCAGCCGACTGACATAACGCGAGCCGACACGTAACTGATCAAGGCCACTGCGTAAGAGCAACCCGCGAATAGAATTAATGACATCCAGCCGACATATTTGTCGCCCACTTCAATCAGAGCTCCTGCAATGGGGACACTAGTAAGTGTCCCGAAGCTGGCGGCCATAGTCGCGGTTGCAAAATATCGACCATAGTCTCTTGCGTCGCAGAATTGACCGAGGCAAACGGGAAGCAAGCTCAGATTGCTCCCGCTTACAATTCCAAACAGTACGCTGAACGCAGTAAGGACCGACTGTGATCCATTGCAAGGGAGCCACAGTCCCAGTACAGTGATTACGCAAAGTGCAATGGTAATGATGATAACATTGAACCGACCAACTTTGTCGGCGACAAACCCAGGCAAAAACCTTCCGAGAGCCGAACCCGCATTGAGATAGACCAAGAACAGGGAGCTTTGGGATGCAGGTATACCGTAAGCAACCCCGTAAGAGATGATATAGGTGAGCGGCACAAAGAGGCCCCATTCCATGAAGAAGTAACCCAAACAGGAAGCCGCGAAACGATGGTCACGGAACACTGTGAGGTCAGGCCACAGAGTTACAGCCTGTGATTGGTCCGACTTGCTCATCTGGATGGATGGGCGACTTTTGATGAATAAGTTGGCGGGAACAGAGAGTCCGAGCAGGATAAACCCGAGAATCCGACAGCTCCATGCAAAACCGACGCCATTGGGGCCAAGAAGATGTCGAAGGAGGAGTGGAAACACAACTCCACCAACACTACCTGCTGTAGCTGCGATACCAGTAGCCACGCCTCGCCGAACGTTGAAGAAATGGGCAACAGCTCCAAAAGCAGGTGCGTTTAAGAGAGCACCACCTATCCCGCCGACCACGGAATACGACAAGATAATCTGAGTGTAGGCTAGATGATAATTAGCTTTACATTTTGATCCATCGTTTATGGTAAATTAATTGAGAATTCAGTGCTTACTTTTGGATACACTCAAGAACATGAGACTCGCAACGGCGAGAACACACCCTACTGCAACAAGCAGTCTGGGTCCGTATCGATCAAAGATCGGGCCACCCTGAACACCGACCAGGAAAACAAGAAAGAGGTATAAACTAAAAATCCAGCCAATCTTCGAATGACTATGATCTTTGAGTTGATGCTCCTTAAAATATGACTCAAAGACAGCACTTGTGTTGATCAGGCCATAAACGGACACCAAGGCGCAAAAGGCACCGAATACGACAAGCCAGGCTGTCAAGCCGCCCTCAGGAAATACTTCGCCTTCTTCATCTGTGCTCTGGTCCGTACCAGTGGGCCCTTTTTCTTGGAGCGCAGCCGGCGGTTGCTCCTTCTTGTCATCATCAGAAATATTGTTGGATTTATCTTGTTGGTTCTTTAGGCAGCTGTCCTCTGCATGATTTTGCAACACTGACATAGAAGGAGGCAAATGCCTGATAGTGTAAGAAAATGGAGATGATCAGAGAGGAAAAGCTCTGCATGAGCTGTATGGGGTTAGATGGCTGGAGGGAAATGGTGAAGAGAGACCCAAACAATATATTTAAGCTCAAACTGGCCTGATTGGAGACTCCACAATCTTTCATTAAATTATTAATTCTCTCCCAGCCATCCTCACTAGCATGGCTGAACAACAAGGAGATACCGAGCGACAGACAGAAGGGGAATAGCGTGTTGCATTCCTTGCCCCCCACTTTACTAAACCTGGTTTCCAAAAGGCGTGGAGTGGAAGGGCGTGGAGTGGAAGGGCGCGTTGGAGAAGGGCGTGAGGGGAAGAGGCCGGATAGAAGTGACCACTGAGAGTTTCTCCCCACAAGGGGCCCGCGATTGAACTAGCGGACTAACCTGGTAGAATATGATCTTCAGATCTATCAATAAAAGACTTACAATGGCCGTGATTGAGAATACATCACAGTTTCAAGCTAGGCTTTGAATACGTTAACAATCAGCTATAGTCGTGTCTTTTCACTCGACTAGTCATTGACCTCTCTATCTCATTGGATTATCCAAAATGTCACCACAGTGGCTTGAAAATGGCAACGGTGTTGCAACGCCCACCTCTCCGGATGCACAGTCCATCAAATCCCACCGGAAGCCCATCGACGCGTCACAATGGGGCCCGGCGGCACCAGCCAAGAGCGAATCATTCCAAATCCGCCAGCATTCGCACAAGCCCAAGGCCAAAAGATGGGATCACATCCTCAGCAAAGAATCTGCTGGACGTGCAGGAAACTCTCTCAAGTATGCAGCCAGTTTTCTCTCCAGGCCAGGAATGATCTCCCTGGGAGGTGGGCTGCCCTCGGATGAATATTTTCCCTGGGATGAACTTCACTTCAAAGTGCCACAAGTCGGTCAATTCTCTGACAAGGAGCTACGCGAAAATGGCGTTCTGATCAAGGCTGGTAAACATGACTTGGCCGAACAAAAGTCTATCTTTGACATCTCGACATCTTTCAACTACGGCCAGGGCCATGGTTCTGCGCAACTGTTACGTTGGATTACGGAACACACCGAGTTGGTCCATGATCCTCCCTATGCAGACTGGTCATGTACAATGACTGTTGGTTCGACATGCAGTATGGATTTCGTCCTGCGTATGCTCACGCAGCCTGGCGACTATATAGTCTCGGAAGAGTACACGTTTTCTACTGCCGTTGAAGCTGCTACACCAATGGGCGTTAAGGTGGCTGGTGTTAAGATGGATGACCAAGGTCTACTTCCTGAATCACTTGATGCTCTGTTAAGTAACTGGGACCCAGCTGAGCACGGCAGCGCCAAGAAACCAACCATCCTGTATACTGTGCCAACGGGTCAGAATCCTACAGGAGCAACGCAAGGGGAGAAACGACGAAGAGATATCTATACTGTCGCCCAAAAGCATGATTTATACATCATCGAAGACGAACCTTACTATTTCTTGCAAATGCAGCCATACAACAGCCCTCCCCCGGCAACGAATGCTGAGTTTCTGAAGAGTTTGATACCTAGCTATCTGCATATCGATGTGAATGGAAGTGTTCTACGTATGGATTCCTTTTCTAAAGTCCTCGCTCCTGGTACCAGAACAGGCTGGATCACAGCCAGTCAACAGATTGTCGAGAGATACACCCGGCACTCCGAGGTGGGCACCCAAGGGCCCAGCGGTGTCTCGCAGCTCATGTTGTTCAAGCTTGTCGATGAGTACTGGGGTCACGATGGGTACCTGGACTGGCTGGTTCATATCCGATTGGGCTATACCCAGCGACGGCAAGTTATATTGGACGCTTGTGAGAAATTGTTGCCTCGCGAAATTGTGAGCTGGAAACTACCCGTAGCTGGCATGTTTGTGAGTAACAGCGTCAAACCACTTCAAGATGGAACCAATCTCTGACCAATTTCAATCTTAGCACTGGCTCAAGATCGACTGGAGAAAACATCCTTTGGCCTCATCGAAGACTATTTTGGAGATCGAGGATGAAATTTTTATGGCGAGCATTGATCAGGGTGCCTTGGTTATTAAAGGCAGTCAGTTCTATGCAAACAAGGAGGAGAATCACGATACGCTATTCTTCCGCTCCACGTATGCTTCTGCTCCCCCCGATAAAATAAATGAGGCTATTCGAAGATTTGGGACAGCGGTTCGATCGGTCTTTAAGTTGAAGGAATAAGTAGAGGATGTGGTGGCACTAAGGGAGGGTATACTATAGCTTTGAACAAGACAGGTGATATTGAGCATTCGCCTAGTGCCAATTTGTTGTTCTAAATACAAGAAAATGCCTGCAAAGTAGCCCTAAAGGTAAGCGAAGCTCGCTCGTTTTGATGGAAGACATATTGGTCGGCAACGCGGCGATGGCTGGGCTAAACGGCAGAAAGCTAGGTCAGGTCTGCCGCTATCGCTCGTCATAACGGAAGGCGGGCAGTTCAAATCTGCAGCTATCGCTCGTCGTGATGAGAGACAGCCAGGTCTATAGAGAGGTTAGGGCCGCGGATGTAGCTGCCAATAAGCCGGCACTTAATATGAGTATTGTCTTGACATTAAAGAGTAAAAGATTAGATTAATAGCTATTTCTTCTAGTTAAAATCAAGTTCCTATAGAAGAACATCTTTATCTCGAAGAATAAGAAGAATAGATAGTAATATTGTTATAAAGAGATAAAGAAGATAGAAGGAATTAGAGCTTAATAGAAGATAACTTTAACAGTAATACTTCTTAGCCCTTAAACATATAATAAAAGAGAATAAGTAAGAGATATTAATACTAAGTGTCTTTGATTTTACTTTTACATGCTCAAAATTTGCAACGGACGGGTTTCAAAATGTATTTCCAGAATAACAGTGAGGATGAGCCTTTGTAGAATAGATCTATTCGCAGGAACGTGTTCTCTTACTTACATTATGTATCCCAGGCTAGGGCCTGAGGATAAGAGCTACTGGACTCGACGCAAATCCACTCCATTGTATCAGAAGACCTTTAGTAACCATAGTACCATCTCGTAGTGTGAGAGCGTTATCAACACAAAAACTTGCAAATTCTCTTCCCAGCGGACCATGACTGTCTCTCCATTCTCTCCTCCTCAAGAATTTGCGTGAGGTTTAGAACCCGCTGGCCACTGACTAGATCAAGGTCTTTAGCTCTCCATATCTTGGTCTGTTTCCACAATTTGAAGCCCACGTATGTGATGAGAATGATAATGAGCGACAGACAAGATTGAAACCAAGATTCGGTGCGCTCAAGGGCAGTCATTGACTCGTAGCCAACTGGGGCAAATCCTGTCCAGAACTGCGCGATCACAATGAGACAGTTGATAATAAAGCCAAGCCAAGAACCGTAAACACCAGCCTGAGACCTGTGGGGAAGATCATTCAAGGAATTTCCTTGCAGCTTCCAGGCACGTCGGAAACGGATATGAGCCAGGCAGATGGATCCCCAGTTGAAAATCTGTGCCAACCCTGCAATGGCGAGCATCCAGTCAAAGGCTTGTTCTGCGGCATCGGGTCCCGCAGCTACAATGAATGCGACGAGGCCGATTAGGGAAGTGCATATGATGGCGACAAGAGGACGTCCCGATCGATCCACATAGCCCAGAATCTTTGGTGCCTGTCCTTGATCTGCCATGGCAGCAAGGGTACGCGATGAACCATACACAGCAGCGTTGCCGACGGAAAGAATGGACATTAAGATGACGGCATTGACAACAGATGGCAAGCCATTAATCCCAGCATTTCGAATTGAGATGACAAATGGGGACGCGTTGGCATCCGCTGATCCTGAGCCGTTGAGAAGATCAGGAGAGTTGTAGGGAACTAGGAGGCCTATGACAATGAGACAGAGCACATAGAACTAGACTTAGAACTTAGTATGTAGTCAGATTTTCCATATGCTAAATGAGAAGACCTACCAGGATAATTCGCCAAAACACCTGCTTTACTGCAGCTGGCAATGCCTTTCTCGGGTTGGCAGCTTCCGCTGCGGCGAGACCGACAACCTCTGTACCTCCGTAGGCAAACGCGGCCGTCACGAAGACGCTGCAAAGTCCCTTGAAGCCATTATTGAAAGCGCCTGGGCTTTGCCAGTATCGACCACCAATATAGTCACCCGATGGGGAGCCTCCGCAATCGATGATGATTCCGAGAATACTTTTATTTTAAGAAATTCATCAGCCAATAGATTTCATCTATTTCTGGGAGGAGTGTACTCACATAAAACCAATGACAGTAATCACTTTGATGGTGGAAAAGATGAACTCAGCCTCTCCAAACCCTGAACCAAATGAATGTAAGCTCGTCATTCGGCGGGACAGAAGGATAAAAGTAACATACCCTTGACACTGAAAAGATTAATGGACACAATCACGACCCAAAAGATGGCCACCCATGCGGCGCTGTTCGTTTCTCTCGCTCCGGGCCAAAAGCCAATAGTCATACTCGCGGCGGTGATTTCTAATGGCAAAGTAACGAGCCAGGAAATGGTATAGTTCCAGCCCATGGCGAAGCCCCAAGCTGGATCCAAGAAACGGGTGGAGAAGGCGGCAAAAGAACCAGCAACGGGAAACAGCACGCCCATCTCGCTAAGGGCATTTATGGTGCAGTACATCATGATGCCGATCAGTCCATACGCGATAAGCAGCGAAGCTGGTCCACCACTTGCCAGAGCCTTTCCGCTGCCAACAAACAAGCCTGTGCCGACGCAACTTGCAATGGCGATGAGTTTCATATGGCGGCTTTTAAGCTTTCGAGCGAGTTTCTCCGGAGGAGCTGAAGGGTGCTTGTCATCTTGGGAAGGTCCATGGGCCTGTTCTGGGGGCGAGTTGGCATCACCGCTTGCCGGCTTGAAGCTGTCCATGAAAGTTCGCATGCGGGTTTTCGGAACATCTTGAACACTCGCTTGTCTAGAGGCTAAGGGGTTGGCCTCATGTGTTAACATGTCGACCTTTTCATACTCAACGCCAAGCTCAGGGTCGGCAGCATTGTTCTTCTCCATGGCAGAGTATGGATATTGATCCAGTTGACCAATAGTAGTATTAGAAACGGTGAGGCAATAGAGTCCGGAGAGATCAAACTACCATAGTCAAAACTTTTATAATATCTCGCGGGGAGTGAGATCACCGGAGACTTTATAACTTTGAGCGCTCCTGGGCTGGAAAGTCGGAGAGTACCTCCCCTCATTTTCTCTTATCAGGGTTACCGTGAGCAGCTAGGCGAAGGTCTCGGCTGCTGCCACCGAAAGATTGTACCCCCTGGAGACTTCCCTTCCCTTGCCACTTCCATTCCACTAAAATCCCAAAAACTCAATAGCCCAGGGCTCTACCATACATCACCCCAAGGGGGATGGAGATTCAAGGCTCCGCCCCCGCACTCTGATGCCTGTCTTCATGGGGAAGAGGTTCAACGCCCTAAGCTAGGATCACCCCTTGAACAATACTCCGCCGCGCCTTTTCCTAGCGTCACGCCATGGTGTGAACCGCCCTTGAGAAAATGCGCCTTATTTGCGTGCGCCCTTCACTAGGTTGGGCGTCATCTTGCATTAGCCTAACTTAAGACAGGGAAACAGACATTTTGTCTTCCAAAGGAGGGGTTATAATCAGCCTCTTGATGAGATCTTTGTTCAAATCCTCAGAGCTATCAACAATTCAATCCTACGACACTTTATCTCATCCTCATCCGTCGAAAATGGCTTCTTTTTCGGTAAATCTTTTGAAATCCTAATTATATGTGGGCCAACAATGGCGTAGTCTAACAATCAGCTAGCGGTTGATCAGATTCCTTGCTAAGGATGGGAACATCTACTACGGCGATGCCATTCTTCCGTCGGGTGTAACAGATGTAGGCAAGGCGGTTCAAGCCAAAATCCTCAATGGGAACCCCTTTGGAAACCATGTATTAACCAAGCAAGTTGCTGTATGTTACCTCTTCCCGATATAATCCCATCCTCCATACGAGATTGTTCTTATTTCTTTTTTTCTCAGGACGTCGACTCCCTCCTGAGCCCTTTGGCTCGCGAACATGTCAAAACAGTCCGTTGTCTCGGCCTCAACTACGAACAACATGCAAACGAAACCGGTACACCAATTCCACAGTATCCTATTCTCTTTTTCCGGCCCATCACTTCCCTTAATGGACCGTTTGATACTATTCCTATTCCTACCGTAGCCCGACAGTTTGACGGCGTCGACTACGAGTGTGAGCTAGTCGTTGTGATTGGTAAAGACGCCTATCAGGTTCCCGAGTCGACGGCACTCGAATACGTGGCTGGATATGCTGTTGGTAACGACGTTTCCCACCGTGAGTGGCAGCTGCGACGAGGCGGTAGCCAGTGGGGATTCGGGAAGGGATTCGATGGCTGGGCGCCTTTTGGACCCGGTATCGTCAGCTCCAAGCTTATTCCTGATCCACAGAGACTGAAGATTTCGACCAAGGTTAATGGTGAGGTGGTGCAAGAGAGCAATACTGCTGATATGATCTTCGGCGTAGCCAAGATTATCGCCTTTTTGAGTCAGGGAACGACGCTCCTGCCATGTGACTTAATTTTCACCGGAACGTAAGTAGGGGTCTTTGTCTTTTACTTCTGGCGGTATACTGACGGACTTTTTCAGGCCCCAAGGTGTGGGAGAAGTTAGAAACCCGCCATTATGGCTCAAGCATGGCGATACTGTTGAGGTCAGTTTGGAGGGAGTTGGTAGCTGTGTAAATAAGGTCCAGGACCGAGAATAGTTGCAAAGAATAGTTGAAATCCGGAAAACCTCTTCGGGAAAGAAACAAATTCCCAATATATTTCGCAATCAAAATCTTATTTTTACTGCTTTTCTAGAATTTTTATTTAGGTGCTTTGAATCGGTCGTAAGTGATGAAGTTTGAAAGCCTTGATGGACAAGGTACACCACTCTTGGCTATGTAGCGTAGGTTCATAGCGTTAATCACGTCTTTGGAGGCAGTATGCCTACGTCGCGCTTAAAACGATTCAGCCATTCACTGTTTTCAGCAGCAGTTTGATTCCAGGGGTCATCGCTAATCACGAGGTGAGTTATTGTACTGGGAAATCAACAGCTGGATATTATCTCACCAATCAAACATGATCCATCGCGCCTGATATTGGATTTCTGCATCGGTAGGAACATGCCGATTCGGATTATTGGGAGACATTGTAGAGGTGACGAATCGGGTCAACTCCTGTGCCAGACGACGATAGCAATCGGTATCATTCAGGAAAAAGGTGTTTGTCATCAAATCTTCAAATCTCCCAGGACTGCCACTGTCGTCGTTAGGTTGCATCTCTGAGTTGGGTTGTGGCTCGTTTGGTAGCATGACTTCATGCAGTGACCGTCCAGGGCTCAAGGTCCCTACCGCTGTTGTCCCATGGTGTATTTGATCATGACGCCTCTTGAAATTGGCCGCCCATTCCGAGTTGTCCACTTTATCATGGTGCAATCCAGATTGGTAGATGAATGAATGAGCTTTCCGCTCCAGTTCCTCACTTGACGGTTCGATGCCTATGGCTCGCCGGGAGTCGATATAGTCTCCCAGGTATCGCTCAAGTCCGGTGTAGGTGTATATATTCCCCGCCGTTTCTTGTAACAAATCAACAGGAGCGTCAGCATCAACGTAAGGTGGAAGACGGGCTCGTTGGCGAAAATTGCTTAGCCATCCAGTCGACGACTTGACAAGTCGCACGAGCCAGTCAGCAGGGTAACGACATGGCAAAATGCTCGCCTTTTCCATTCGCCGAATAATGTGACAAGCTTCCTCTTGGAGCATTTCATTTGATACCGTCATGTTCCGAAGGACTTTAACATGAACAAAGTCGTGTAGTTGGACCTCAAGCGGACACTGCTCGAAAAGATTGTCTTTTCCATTGATCTTGAGAATGGCACTCCTATTTTCGGCTCGTCGTCGGAGAGGTGCAAATCTTGCACTTGAGGCAATTTCATCTGAAGACATGACGAGGTCTCGTAACCAGGAGGATTCTGCTGCGATGTCTCGTTGTGTGGACAGTACTTCAGAAGCGTAGATTATACGACACGCCTCTACCTGAATATCTCTGTCCTTCGGGAGGGCATTAGTCTTTTCCTCGTGGTTGGCCATGAAGTAGGCAAGTTCTAATGTAATAAGCTCGTATGCGTTCCGCGGAGACTCAGTAGGCGCGACACTAGCGAGGAATGGAAAAGGGGATTGTTGTTCATTTTCGATGAGATCTAAGTATCCTGAAAGTCAGTACAATTGAAGGGGGTGAAACAATACAAGAAAAAAATGAGTCACGTACAGGGCGGAATAGAATTGGTGAGCATTTCCAGTACCGATGGGTCAAACCCCCAATCACCATGCCAGTCAGCCATTGTTTTTCCGCTCTTAAAATGCTCCGCCAAGTGATCGGTCCGGTCCGCCCAGTCATGCATAATGATACCGCAGAAACCGCACCGTGAGCGAATCTCCGACTTGACGATTTTCCAATTCGTCATAGACCAGTTGAGAAACATGGCATTATATAAGAACGAGCTTCAAGTGTTGATTCAGGTGATCTTTGCGATAAAAAGTTCTCTCTTCGAATTTCCGCATCTTACAGACGTTGCCATGATGGTGCTTCTCTAGATGCGCATCATCCGGATCTGGTAGACCGCAAAAGACACAACAGAGTTGTTGCGTGTTGGGGTTGATCACTCTGGGTTCATCAGGTGTACAAATCCACATTTCTAGAGACAAGTGAAATGATTTCTCGTGCCTCTGCCAGTCGTGCTTAGTCTTGAAGGTTTCGGGGCAGAAAGTACACTGGTATGGCTTCAACGGTACAATCAACGATGTTCTCTGGTTACTTCGGCTCGGCATCACTCTTTTCCTTCGTCTGCGACGACCATTTATCTGATTCAGAGAGTTGAAGGTGGATACTTGGAACGAGCCGTCCGAGGAATGCGAGTGTGCAAATGAACCTGCGCTAGACGTGCCTACACTGCTTGCCGAGGAATCGTTGCTAAATATACCTTCTTGAGTGGTAGGTGAGTAATTCGAAGCAAAGGCGGCGCTAGATGGATCCCATCGCTTCGCATGCATGGCTCTTGCAATGGCCACAACAGATGCAGGTTCATCTTCGGGTGGTGAATCGACCCAACGTTGCAGAGGATCCTGGCTGGGCCTTAGGCCCTTGGCGGCCGGTGTGTCAGGCCGACGAGGAATATCAATAGGTCCAGTAGAGGCAGCTTGGAGAGATTGGGTACCTGATGACCTTTTGGGTTGCAGCTTGCCTCGGCGACGGGCGTTGACAATCCAGTTGGCAATTTGCGTCTTGCTAAGGCCAGTCCTCCGTTGGAGCATTTCTGTTTCCTCTTCGCTTGGATAGGTATGACGACTATTTAGTCCAGGCCATTTCTTCAGAATTTGGAGAGATTCTCGGCTGAGGCGGGTGGTAGTGATGGATGCGACGTCGCCATTCCTCCAAGACGGTATGGGGAGTGACCTGCTCCTCACTTCGGGATCTGCCAACAATACGGGATGCAGTGTCAGGTTGCAGGATAGGTCCGTCTGGTCAATAGTTTGTTCATTATGATAGTTTGTCGTTGTTATATTCCATGGATTGGTACGGGATGCTGAGAAGTTCTGATTGGACGTGGTTGTATGCGGAATGGACTCAATAGTTGGGCCATCTCCAGTCTCCATGTAAGAGCTTGAGCGGTCGGGTATGAACTGAAACTCTGGATTGCTATAACATGGAGACTCTTCGGCGGAAGATCCTTCATATTGATGAATTGAGAAGGTAGAACGATCAAATAGTGCAGTGTCCAGGAGAAAAGAGGGTGATGATATGTCATTGCGCGATGAGTCAGCTTGCAACTGTAAGGGATCATGATGTGTAGTCTGGTTCGCGATAGTCGGACCCTGAATAGGAAACTCTTCAGCATCCATGTTCGCCAGTATCAGGTCAATATCAATATCGAATGGCACGCCTCCAGACTGATCGGACAGGAATGAGGAGGACACGGGCACATTCGTGGCCGGAGGGCTGGCATCCACTCCCAGCTGATCGCACTGCCGCCGCCAATCGTGATCCATGATGCTCAGGAGCCATTTACCAGGTGCGGATGCAAGGACTTCGTACTTGGTCGTTCAAAAGACTGGGAGTTCAATCAGTGAAAGGACAAAAGACAGAGGACAGGCAAAGTGCGGAAGAGACGGTGGGGTTTGCCCTGCATTGAATGGGGCTCTGGGGTCAAAAGGCTGACGCTTATTGGCCACGCCCTAACATCCCAAGATAGTTTAGTCAGGTTGGTTGATCTAACCACATCCCCACGACTTCGGTCTTCTCAAGGCTATCACGGAACGGAACGGATTCTCACATATCCGATACCGCCTGATCAATGTGAGCAAAACTAGAAGTTGTCATTACGTAATTACGGAACGTCACACGATTCACTGACCATAGGCTTTCACCTCCCATGCATGCGTCTCTTCGGAACAGAAAGTACATATGCGGTCTTGACACAGTCAAATATCCTAACGCGCTCCCTATGGAGTACATGTATCCTTGCTGGAGAAGTCAAATCGAGCGATCATGGTTCAAATCGGGGCACCGGCGGTTGATGAACAAGAGTTTAAAATCCCGACCTATGTGTAACAAGCCATACTCAGCATTGCCCTGATAATTACCTAGTTCTCAGTGAAGATATTTGATCAACTGCCGCTCTGCCAGAGTTTCATCATGACAATTCGGCTGTTATGAGAATGGCGGCCTCTATCTCAATTTCTCTAATGAAAATAATCCAGGCCTCATAATTGCTTAAAATTTATAAATATGGATGTAAATTGGAAGCGCTGCGTGGCAAGTCGAACTCTTCAACAAGGGCGAAAGATTGTTAGTGATATTGATACACCTTATCAAATTTTTCAACAGGTTTGTTCTCGACCCATGACTTGCACTGCATATACAGTTCATCTTGCTTCTCACCATTAGTCGTTACAGCATCATGTCCATGGCCAGGCATATCTAGGAGTACCTTGACATGTATTACGGCCTCTTAGCAAGATAGCAATAGCTAAACAGAAATGATGCGAGCTTTCCTTAGTCTAGATTGGGTATATTCATAGGGTTTACTAGAATAAGCTTATCCTTCTCGTACTAGTGCCTTGCGAATTCATTCTCAGTCAATCAAAGCGCGGTATATATTAAAGCTGGTGAGAAAGAAGCTAATATAACATATCGGCCCTATATTCGCCGAGTTAGGTCTCTTCCCAGAAGATATAAAACTTATAATCACTCTCGGTATCTACTTTATACCTTTGGATACTAATTTCCTGTATTATAGCTGCCTTTATCTTCGTAATAGCCCAGGTAGCTTCAGGATTGATATCTGTAGATATGCCTTAGCAGGGGTATCTAATAAAGATGCTATTCTCTATCCCGGCTTTAGAAGCTGCGCTGAAATCTAAATAGTAGCAGCGGCCTGTATATATAGTATAGATGCATGCTTCAGGGTGAAATATCGATAGCATAGTATCCTATTCGCACGAGTCTCTGGTAATTGTTTTAGCAAGATGAATTTTCAATAGGAAAGGAGTTATATATATGAGGCTAGGTGCCCCATGAGGTTAGGTGCTAGAAGGAGTGCAGGCTTTTTACCTATATATAGGCCAGCCCTCTGCTAACTCGCGGACCTGGAACCGTTCTAGGACGAGATTTGCTAGGCCATTGGTTGGGCTGGCACGTGCTGGCTTCCAACCTTCTGGCAAATCATAAAGATTCAGCATCCTCAACGGAAGATGCAATTTCTTTTATTTTCTTTAAATTTTTCTGGCGCACTAACTTGTTCTAGCATATATAGAATTGCTTGAAGAGTATGTATAATTGAAACAACATTTTAAAAGGATGACTCCAAAACATAAGTCTAATTGTATAATCTGCAGCTAGTGTCTGTGGCAGGGTCCTTAATTCCGAGCCCTTATATATCACCCCTTGTATCCGGTCCCGAACCGCAATTATCAAGACTACCCCGGATTTACATAGAATCACGGGGTGGACTCCGCGTTCCAAATTCACTGCCTTATCTAGTAGCCCCAAGTCTTGTATTAGTTAGTATAGTAAACAAAGAATTTACCTGCGAGTGGCTAAGTAGTTGTATACTACCACGTCTAATCTGTTGATTATCAGAATAGGGAGGGTATAGTCCGCCACTATGTTTTTAATACCGTTAGCTATTATATTAAATAGAGTAAGCCTTTTCTAAACAGAGAACATGCCAAAGTAAACCCATGATCTGACTTGATATAGTCGTTGGAGATCTTTAAAAACAATAAAAATAATTACTCCTTTTCTCTAAAAGCGAAACCTAGTCGTCTTCAGTCCTATATCACATAGAAGCGAGAAAGATTTCAACTTAGTAGAGTCTCAATAAGATATAGAACACATTAGCGGAACATATCAAACGGGTCCCTGAGCGAATTTTGCATTGTGAATTGCTAAACTATAGTGCCAGGGCCTTGATTAGGATGCTATCATTGACTTATGTACGACCGATTTCTATCCGCAATGTAGAAACGATCACTAAATTATCCCTCCGCTACCAGCTCCTGAGCTCTTTCACGAGACTTAACAACGCCTATAATAACTATCTATTCCAAAGTCAGCAACTTATAGCTGGCAAACACTTCTTCTCATTACAAGTAGGGTTTAATTCACCTCGCTTATCTCATATAAGAGTTCCTTCTAATCCTCCGTACCCTTCTGAACAGATGGGGAGTCCCAGTTAAAGATGTAAGTCAGTATCAGGTCGGTTTCAGACATATCTGGTTGAAATAATACCAATTTAGTACCGACAGAGCTATCGGATTACTCGAACTGAATCTATTTAGGGTAAAAGGGGTTAGGCTATTACTTATTTTTTCCAAAGGAACTAGTCGTTTAACTATACCCACAAGTCTCTGTGAGATGTAACTGTTTCTTACATATACCTCTTCCCCCATTTTCCAAAGTTCAGTTCGGCCTCGCGCTTCACCATATTATTTTTACTACTGTGAATAGTACAATCACTAAGGATTAGAACGAATTCTTATGGACAGGAAACTTTTCGCTACAACGCCTTCCAAAGCTGGTCGCATGTGACATAGGTTGAGGTATCCTTAGGACCATTAATAGGAATAGTACCAGCGCTGTGAACCCTAAGTATGATTACGACTTTGTGTTTTGAGAATCGGAAGAGTAAATCTATGCGGATAATCGAATGCTGGTAAGATGATATGCCTATTACATAGATCAAATTGTATTAATTAAGGGCCAGATACACAAGTCCGCCAAAGTGCCTTGGGTAATACCGAACAGATACTAGGTACTGATTTCAGCGGGGAATATACTTAATGTATTATCCGTTTGGCGGTGCTAATTTATATTTGGCGGCCCTTCAACCGCCGCCAAAATCTCATATGTTTTAAAGCAGAATGTATAAAGATTCTTTAGCAACTAGGCTTGTTATGAGCAGCTAAGCGGTCCCTGCTAGCGGGATACCTTAAAAACAGGGGGTTCATGAGAGGAAGAAGAAGTTATAAAAGATACTTTAAATTATATATAATCCACCTACTGATTTGGGGAAGGTCGGCATTTTGTACGAGGTTATGTTATTTGGCAGTCGCTTGGCGGAGTTGAGTATCTGGCCCCAAGTGAGTGGTAGTTAGGTAATTAACAGCTGGGCGGCTAATTTTCCTGCGATTATAAGCGGACGCAACGGACGGAGCAGAACATGGGCCGCCCATGTAAAAACTCCGGACAATGGTCCACTAACCAAGACCTGGCGGACGGCTGGCGGCATAATAACCCAAACTCTTAAAAAGGCTGGAGATGAATGCCGGTTATGACGAATCACATCTTCCTACAACTTACCCTATAGGTCTACCCATCTAACACAGGTATTTGAAAGCGAGTCACAGAACTCGTTTCAGGCATTGTCAATGCATGCAAATGTAGCAGAGAGGCGAGGTATTGTTAGTTATTTGTTTTAGATCTCCTTACAAGCTCATGGCCACTGTTGCGATATATATTCCAATCTCATCAGTGTACTGACGCGATTTGGGAACAAACAATAGTGGCTTGCCGAGCTCACCGGTTCCAACATATCACCCAAGTTCAAAGTTGATTGAATCATGCAGTTGAATGTTACGGAGGCACTCCGCGTTACATGATGCGCAATGTTGACATGATGTACACTTTTCCAAGTTTTTCCGCTGGCTCATGGGATGGCTGTTGTAGACGTTTTACCACCGAACGTTTGTGCGCGGCTGAACTCGCCGGGCTACTAGTGGCTGATTTCTATTTTAGAACATACTTAGGTCTCTTCATTAGTTAGGAGGGCCGTCCCTCTGGACCGACTCTCTGCCGATCCCCGGTAAGAATTATAGAACCCGACTGGCTCAAAGCCTGAGTTCATAACTATTTATGCAAAAGCCGGGATATATATGTAATCATGTGCCAAGTAAAGGATTTAACCCACAAGCAGGCCAATGGTCTCTCAAAGATTTAACCAGGGGCCGACTGGGGGTCGGTTCTCTGGAGGGTCCGTCATCCCCTCTCTGACTTATCTCACGCAATCACACTCTGGAACAATTGCCTCAATTTCATTTTCGCAGTCGCATCTGCCGATTTCGACTTCGACCACGTTGAATCATTACTAAAATGCGCCGTTTCCGATACAGCACCGGGGAGTTTGTGCCATACAGGCTACGCAGCGTGACATCGGCTGGACTGGATGAAGTGGTCAAGACACAAAGCGGGAGAATGCCCTAAAGTGGAATGGTGGGAGGGAACCCTTGGACCTGCTAAGCCCAATATTGATAATGAATACTTTATCAAACAGCAGCCCTCACACCACAAAAGGGGTACTTCTCATCTTGCTTTTATTGGCTGCGCGCACGCCACGAAGCGTCCCGCAGGCACTGCCGCCGTTAAATAATGTGCCGACCCCACCGCATTGTTCTTTAGGTTGCTTTTTCTCCCAAATTGCCCTGCCTTGACAATAATGTGTCCGGACGAGCGACAAAAGTCCGAGTCCCCTGCGCCACCGCTGCAGGAGGCCTTGGCTGAGAATCCCATCGAGGCAGATGTTGGTCGCGATGTTTCCCCTCCATTTGCCAACTAGCTGACACTTCCCTTCAGGATAATGTGCTAGCCGACGATGATTCTGCATATGCTGGCTCGTAAGGCTTGCATAGACCTGCTGCTGCTCTGAGGACTTACGCTGACCATCCAATTAGGGAGGGTTCGGGCAGCTATCAGACCTCTTTGGCTTCAAGCATTGTAAACTATAAGTATGTTGTCTACTGCGTCGCCGTACCCGTACCTTTCTTTAACCGGCACCTACTCTGGTGATCTAGATATGAAGTGAGTTTGAGCGCGAATTTACGTTCGTTATCAATGTAGTGACTTATTCGGGGTAGAACGGACGTCGCTACCATGCCTTCCGTGCAGGCACTTATTTCCTAGTATGTTACTTGTGATATCGTCCCGAAGGAAACCAAGCTGAGATCCAACAGCCAAACGATGACACTGAGCAAGACCGCATGGATCTCGTGCATCATATATACCGCCTGTTGCTCGGCGGCAAGCTCTTCCTAGCGCCCATCGCCGATAACCCCCATCGTGTCCTCGACCTCGGTACCGGCACGGGTATCTGGGCCATGGACTTTGCCGAGTCTGTCCCCCGATCTAGGCCGGCGTGATCATTTGGCTGACATGAGTGTAGTGAATTCCCATCCGCACAGGTGATTGGCACGGATCTAAGCCCGATCCAGCCACAATGGTATCCCATCTTGCCGCCCACATCCAGCTACACGTACTAACTCGCAAATCAGGACTCCTCCAAACTGCTTCTTCGAGGTTGACGACTATGAAGCCGAATGGCTGTACAGCAAGCCCTTCGACTTCATCCACGCACGCGAACTTGAGGGATGCATTGGCGACGACGACCAGCTCTTCCGGCGTGCCTTCGAACACCTTGCCCCGGGTGGTTACATCGAGTTCCAGGCGGCGGACCCGAACTGGATGTCCGATGATGGCACCGCTGACAAGGCCGAGAACGCCAACAGCTGGCTCAAGACATTGGTGGAGGGTTCGGCCAAGTTTGGAAAGTCGCTCGAGATTGCTCTTGACTGGAAGGAGAAGATGGAGAAGGCGGGGTTTGTGGACGTTAAGCAGGAAATTCTCAAGGTAGGCCGCCGTCCCAATGTGAATATCTGGTTGTTGCTGACACGAGGTGGCAAGGTACCCATTGGCGCTTGGCCCAAGGATCCCACGATGAAAGAGATGGGGAAATTCATGGCTATCCAGCAGATTCAGGCCGTGGAGTCGTACACGCCCAGGCTCTTCTCGACCATACTTGGTTGGACGGAAGAGGAGATTCAGGTGTACGTGGCCAAGGTCAGGAAGGACCTCAAAGACCCATCGATTCATCTCTATTTGTCCATCCATTTCGTCTGGGGTAAGAAGCCCGAGTGATGGACTCTACTCTCTTTTTTGCTGTCTATATATGTGGATACGTCATACGCCTTGTCGATTTATCGATATGCCGACTATCGCGTACTTAGACGAACCTTCCGTTGGTTTGAACAGATAGCCTTTTCTTCCTCAATCATCATACGTTTTTGCTTCGATCGATTGTTTGCCTTCTGCTACTATACAGCTGTATCATGTCAACCAAAGATCTGGTACCACTCAGGAGAGCCTATACCTTTGATAAATTGGCTGCAACTTTGCTGAACTCAAGCCATTGGATTAAGAACACTGAAACAGTATAGAAATAACCAGGATATTAGTACAAGAAGAAGTTAGCATTTACAGCATAATAATGCCATCTGATCCTCTCAATGGCAATCGGGATAGTATACAAGTTAAGGAACCTAAACGCATAGCCGATAGATTGCGCAATGGCCATTCCTTTGGCTCGCTGGGAGAACTTGAGAATCTCGAGAGGGTAAGAGAAGCTCAGGAGCATCCACGAGAGACTTGATGCAAATTGGAAAACTACGACCATGACAATGGAGCATATTCCATACACACGATCGCCGCCCTCGCCGTAGTAGCCCAGGATGGCTAACACGGCCAGCGCGGCTGTCATAGCTGCTGTTCCAGCAACTATAATGACCACGTCAGCAGACTGATGGTGAGATGATTAGACAGGCGCAGCGTAAGTCCTAGATGTTGGGACACGAGAGCTAGAGTAATTTGACTTGAAACTGCTGTATCACTCACGAAATAAGATTCTTCTTCCAACTCGTTCTGACAAGTAGCCGCGAATTGGCGTTAAGAAGAAGGTACCACCAAAGATATACATGTTAATGATGATCAGCATACGGGTATCCGTAATACCGGCAGAAAAGATGATGATTGGGAAGTAGCTCCTGTGGAAGAGTGATCAGCACCTTTGCCACCACTGACCCATCTGGACATCCATACTTACAGCAGTGTGTTGGAGCCCGTCACCTGGTAGAAAATTTGAGCCAGAACAGCTATGGAAAACCGTTCTAAATTGGACTCTACAACGCCTTAGATTAGCTAACAGAGATATAGTGGAGTGTATAGGAACAGCTATACTGGGATGTATGAGTGTCTTCCAAGCGCTCTCATTTTGGCTCTCCTTTCGTATCGCATCTACAATTTCTGCCATCTGTAACTGGATGAGAGGGTACTGGCGATCCCCCTTTGCATGAAGGCGGGCAATAATCTCCAAGACCTGTTCAAGATGTCAGAATAACTGGTTAATCACGAACAAGACGAACGTGCCTCTTCGTTGCTGCCTTGAGAAACAAGCCATCAGGGTGACTCATCGGCGAATAGTATAAGGACGATGCTGATGACGGCGAATGCGCCCTCGACCTAGCGAACAAGGGAGTCAGAGAGGAAGAGATAGTTGTACTGATAGATGGACATACAACGAAACCCGGTCTCCACGCCCAATCGCTGTCGAGATTATAGGTCTACAAGATAGTCAGACCAACCAAGACTCCCATGAACAGCAAGGATGAGATCAACAGCCCGAGGTAAACGCCACGTCTTGTTGGGGGAGCAAGTTCCGCCACCCAGACTGGAGCGCCCGCGAGAACGATACCAAGACATATACCGACGAAAAAACGACCGACCGCCAGTTGCGCTTCTGTGAAGCCATGTATCAATAAGTGCCCGTGCTATCTTTTGTTGATTCACTGACCTGTGCTCGCTGTAGTTTGAAGAGCAGTTGCAACCAGTAAGAAGACCGAGCCAGCTATCATGCCAGCTCGTCGGCCCCATCGATCCAAGATGGGCCCAGCAAAAGGTCCTGTCACGACCTGACCCGCATTGACAAAAGCGAGATTGAGGCCCAGCAATGAAGCATCTAAATGCAAGGCTTTATGAAACATTAGCGGACCCGTCTTCTATGATTAAATAGTCTTGAGTTGTGACGATCTTACTTTCACTGTATTTGGGACCACGTTTAAGTTACCCAAGAGGTTTGGGACAAAACTAGCGACGCAGCAGTTGGAAATGGCCGCAATGGTGACCAACGGGAATGCTGCGTAGGGCCCGAGACGAGGTCCAAAAGTTTTTATATTGCGTACCTTGACAAGTGCCTTTGTCCGAAAAGGGTCAAATTGTACTTGTAACAAAATAGAGCTAGGGAAAGGCAATAACAATTTGTTGCAACTTGAGTGGTCAACAATGGATGCAACGGAAACCGCTTTGGAGCCAGAATGAGAAGAGCAAAGGCTTTTATTAACGGCTAGCACCCTATGATGACTCGTTCTAAACCCCCAATCTAGGCTTCCCACAGCTTCCCCGCAATCTCTTCCTCCAACGATGAACCAAGAGGTTCAAACGATAGGTCGGTCACTTTCATGGATGCAACTGCGCTAGATACGCCATCGGTCAATTGTACATGGACCGATTGACTGCTGAGATATCTTCATTTGAACACGGTGCCTGAAGAGGGATTGGTCTACCTAACGGGAATACATTTGATAAAGAGAGCGAACACACCCTCAGGGCAGATATTGACCCTTGCCAAGAACAACATGGCATGGAACCTTGCGGCAGAATCTAATCCACATCCAACTTGGCCTTAATACAGGTCGTGACACGCTGTGCTTATCAGTTGCCGTCTAACCGGTGGTGAATTTCTTTTGTTCGAAGGGGGGAACTGGTCGGATCACCCAGCATCCACGACGGACTGTCATCCGACTGGTCTTGGAGTGGATTGTCCGAAGCTGTGTCTCCACCTTTGGACTATACGCAACTATACCGAGGATGAGTAAGTGAGAGAGCTATACAGCTGCTGAAAAAAAAAGGGGAAATTCCCAAACACCAAGAATTTAACAACTTGACACTATACCCAGTATCACAACACATTAATACCGAGGATGAAAGATTTCATACGACGCGGCCATTTGTCCTATCAAGATGGATGTACTAGATTCTCTGAACCTCAAACTCGGCATTGCGCTGCGGATATCCGCCGTTTGACCTTTTCACATGTCTTGTTGTTGGCCTAAGCTACCTACTTGTCTTTACCTACTGGATATGTATATACGTGCTGAATTGACTGGCATTAGGCTTCCTTACCAAGAACGGGGCTTTTCATTCACAAATATCACTCTCATCTGAACAGCCGCTGTACCGATTCGAGCAAATCCTGTCTGAGTTATTTATTAAGTCCCCCCTTTTCTCAACTCTGTGGAATAGCTTTTGTCACAAACCTTAAACGCGATCGCTAAGAAGCCCTTCTCAACAATCATAATGGGCTTATTTACGCAAAGTATCGTGAGTTCGAAAATAGTCACTTGGGGCTTCACCATACTAGGAGTTTTGTTTCTCTTCCAACTGGTCTCAGCCACACTATGGAAGAAGAACTTGCCTCCAAGCCCAAAAGGATATCCTTTAGTTGGAAACCTGACGGATATTGTAAAGGCGGGAGGTCTGTTTTACAAGACCATGACACGCTGGGCCCAGGAGCATGGCGAGGTGATGCGCCTGGTCCTGGGACCAAACAGCGAGTATATCATTAATTCTGATCGAGCTTGCCAAGCTGTCTTTACTGCGAATTCTGCCGCCACTTCGGAGAGGCCCTTTTGGCACGTCGGTCAGAAGTACTTCACAAACTACCAGAGCATGGACCTTCTGAATGTAAGCAATCCCCGATGGAAGGTATGGTTATACGGAGTGTATATTTTTCAGAGACTCCATAGATGCTGATTCCATTTGTCGCATCAGAGTTGCAAAGAAAGGTGACGCTGCAGAACCTCACAAGCGCCCAACGACTCGACAATCTGTTTCCCTTCCTCTACCACGAGACACTCAAATTCATCCACGAAGTAGCTGTGGACCCCGATGCTGGGACAGAGAAGCAAACCCAGCTCTTCGAAAGCTTAGGCCGTTATGTCTATAGTACATTCACTTCCCAGCTCTTTGGTCTAGAGGTACGCTTGTGAAACGGCGTCTCCGCAATGATGACTAAAAATGCGCTAGCAATAGATCCCCAAGACGAAGAGCAAGGCGTCTGAGTATATTTGGGGTACGATAGAACGGCTGTTCAATTTATTGTTTACCACTAACTAACCAATTCAAACAGCAGGCGGAATCGATGAGATCACTAGTACGCTTACTTCTCCTCGGGTTGAGGGGGAGTCTGCTAATCACCTCTTTCCTAGCCACAATCTCCGGCGTTTACCTTGCAGACATTTTCACGTGGCTAGATTATCTCCCGCTACGATTGAAGCCTTGGGCGAAAAAGGGAATCAGCAGATTCAACGCTGATGTCGACTTTGTCGAATCGAGAATGGCGGTAAGAGCCAACCACCCTCCTCTTCTCACAACAGTCCTGAAATTGGTGCCAAGCATGCAAAGGAGCTCTTTGACCGAGGGGAAGCGGCTGACTCCTTCCTAACCCGCATTTTCTCGGATATGGACAAGGCGGGCATGACGCATTCGGACAGCGCCTATTTTGCACTGAAACTCGTCATTGCTGCCTCAGATACTGTATGTGCATGTTGTGTGACTGGTTCCAAAGACCGAAACACTTGCTGAGTGACCGCAACCTACAGAGCCGGATCGGTTCCTGGGTTTTCCTGGAGCAAATGGTCATGAATCCCGAGATACAGGCCAAAGCCCGGAAGATTATCGGTACCTCACTCATCACCCTTTTCCCAAAGGTCTTGTGGTTACTGACAGCACTAGACGAGGCTGTTGGAGACCGCTTGCCCGTCTGGGAAGATGTTGAGCGTATCCCTTACTTGATATATCTAATGAAGGAGACGTGGCGGATGCGTCCACCTGTCGGTAATGGGCTAGGGCGCCGCACGAAAATTGACATCAATTACAATGGTTATGTCATTCCGGCCAACTCTACCATTCGGCCCAACATTTAGTAAGCTTCTTTTGCCTCTTGCTCTCAAACCCTCATTCTCTCCAGGTTGCTCAAACTTAATTAAGGGCTATCGGTCGCCATCCTGAGCGCCACCCCGACCCTGATGTTTTCAAGCCGGAACGCTGGGAAGGCGATGTCAGTACGGTAAGTAACATGCCTATTGTCAAGGTAGTCAGAAAGACTAAACCAGTCCAGTCTCAGGAATCTGGCAACTATGCCGACAACACAAAAAGAAATCATTTTGCGTTTGGCGTTGGTCGCCGCTTCTGTACGTGACGATACCTTTTCTTGGGCTCGTTTGAACCAATGTATAGCAACCATTGTTGGGCCAGTAACTGACACATGTTTATTTCCCAAGGTCCTGGCGTCCAGGTAGCTGACCGCTCCTTTGCCGTCGCAATAATGCGCTTTCTCTGGTCTATTGATATGAGCATTAGACCAGGCGTCAAACTACCTATCAACCCAGACGACTACATGGAATCTTTTCTTCCCGGAATCCCGGGTTCCAGGCTTCCATTGAGTCTCAAGGTACGAGAGAATCGGAAGGACCTAATCATCAAGGCTTGGGAGGGGCAATGCCCAATTGGAAGCTTAAGGTATAACCCTCACTACTATCAAGGCTTTTCCAAAAATTTCAACTTATTAATTCTCACCTTTTCTAGGGGAGCATGGATTATGGACTATAAAAGTATTTATCACTAAGGTAGGTTAAATTTAGTAATTAAGTTAAGTTAAAGAGAGATATAAGTTATTTTATTTATAGGCCTAGTTTTAAAGAGCTAAATAATACTTAATATATTGAATACAGCTCTCTGATTGGATAAGTATTACCTATATATAATCACTGCTTTTATAATCACGGAGCAATAAGGAAGAGAGATAATATAACAAAGGTAATAATAATAGCTAGGTATAGCTAGAATATAGAGGAAAAGCAGTATATTACTTTTACTAAAGCTTAAGGAATTCTAGCTTTAGTTTATAGCTCTAGGGTATCTTATATAAGCTTCTAAGTCTAGGTTCTAGTTCTAGGTATAGCTAGCTTAGCTAAATATATCTAGCTAATTCTTAGTACTAGTAGTAGTTATAGTAGTCTATATATTATATTATATTTTTTTTTCTAATTTTAAGTTTATTTTAATTAATTAATTAATTACTAAATACTATTAATACTAATTATAACTACTTTAAGTAATTATAATATTATTCTATATAACTATTTCTATTTATAAGGCTTTAGTTATTATAAATAATATAGATTTTAATAAGATAATAATAATTATAAAAGATAATAATATATAGCTCTTAATTAATTATATTTAATAAATATCTCTCTAAATAGTTAAGAGCTTATTTATAATAATAAAACTACTAATAATATATTAGATTTAATAGCTATATCTACTAGATCTATTCTTATATTATATAGTTTATTACTATTCTATACTATAAATATCTCTATAAATACTTTTATAAATATTTAAAGTAAATAAGAAATAGCTAGAATAATAGCTATATTTTAATAATAGCTATTTATTTATTTATATATATTATAATCTAAGGTTTTACTTATAGTTTTAATATATTCTATACTATTTTAAATTAATTAAAGTAAAAATAGTTTTTAAAAGTTAATTAAAATTAAGCTTTTTCTATTTTAAAATAGTATAATTTAGATTAGAATATATTAGAGTTTAATTTAATTTAATTTAGAATTATATATATTTAGAAATTAAAAAGTTAGTTATTAAAGATTATAAATTAATATATTTTTATAAATATAGTATATATTTACTATTATAGGAAATTTTAATTAGAAATAATATAGATTTAATATTTATTTAATATCTATTTATATATATTTAGTTATACTATATAATAAATAATAATTTATATAAGTTAAACTACTATATAAACTATATTTAGTTTTTATTAGTATATAGTAATTTTATAATTAGCTATTATAATTTTCTTTAAATAATCTATAGTAGTATTAGATTAATTAATCTATTATATTCTAAATATTATTTTATTAATCTTACTTAATTTAACTTTTTACTCTAATAAACTTTAATTTAATTTAATTTAATTTAATTCTCTTCTACTTATCTAAATATAAATAATTTTTACTAATATTAAACTTTAAAAACTATTTCTATTTAGATTAATTCTATATAATATATAATATATTAGAATTAGAGATTATATCTTAGATTATTATAATTATTAAGTACTTAGAGATTATTATCTAGTTTCTTTTCTTTAAATATTTTATATAGAGTAGAATCTATTATTTACTTCTTATAAGCTTTATAATATAGTATTAGATCTAGTAATTATAACTACTAGATCTATATAATTAAAAATAGTTTTATAGCTATAAAGAATCTAATAATAGAGTATAAATTTAATTATTTTATATTATTAGTAAGAATATAAGAGTTCTTACTAATTATTATTATTATATAGTTAAGAATCTAGTTATATATAATAATCAGGCTCTAGCTATAGGGGATAATAATATTAGAGATATTTATTATTATTATAAAGAGAAATAATTAGTAATTAATAATAATAAGTTTAAAGAGATATTATAATTAATTATAGATAATAAGTATTCTCTTTTAGAGCTTATAGCTAAATTATATATTTAATAAGCTCTTTTTAGAGTTTTTAAAAAAGTTATTATTTTATTTTAACTTATATAAATAAAAATGTAAAAAAAATAAAGTTAAAGATTAAATATAGATTAAAATTTAATTAAAAATAAATTATATAGATCTAGTTATATATAATCTGATTTTAGAATATTTCTTATATATAGTAAAAACTCTAAAAAATATATATATATATTTAAATAAAACTTATAAAAACTAATATAATATAAATTTATTTTACTATATAAACTATATTTAGTTTTTATTAGTATATAGTAACTTTATAATTAGCTATTATTATTTTCTTTAAAATTCTATAGTAGTAATTAATTAATCTACTATATTCTAAATACTATTATATTAATCTTATTTAATTTAACTTTTCTATCTAATAAACTTTTTAATAATTTAATTTAATTCTATTCTTTTCTATCTATCTAATATTAATTAAAATAGACTTTTTATTTAATTTAAAAAGCTATTTTAATCTAGATTAATTTAAACTAGTATATTACCTACTAATACTATATATAATATATTAGATTATAATAATTATTAAGTACTAGAGAAATATTTATATAATTCTCTATAAGTATATAGAAAATTAGAATCTATATATCTTCTTATTAGTTAGCTACTAGATATAGTAATAGTTCTAGTAGATATAACTATTAGGCTTATATAAGAGAGAGTAGCTTTATTACTATAAATAAATCTATAATAAATTATAAGCTTAAATAATTAATATCTAAAAAGAGATTCTAATAGTTATTATTAATAATAATTATTATATATATAAAAACCTAATTACTTATAATAATCAGATTCTAGCTATAGAGAATAATAATATTAGAGATATCTATTATTATAATTATAAAAAGAGATCTAATTATTAGTAATTAGTAATAATAAGCTTAGAGAGATATTATAATTAATTATAAATAATAAATATTTCCTCTTAGAATCTATAGTTAAATTATATATTTAGTAAGCTCTTTTTAGAGTATAACGGTTGGATAACTTATACTGGACTGGGTCTAGAGTAGATCGGGGTTAAACTAATCAGAGTATTATTCTGAGTAGTATAATCAGATTATTATAAGCTATATAATATAAGTTACTATTAATATATAAGTATTATAAAGCTAGTAATAATAGATATATAGATAATTATATTAATAACTATCTGAGAGAGTATTTTATCTAGTAAAATAAATATATATATATACTAGGGGATTATTAATACTTAGTAATAATCTATTATCCTGGATTATTAGGATTATTATAAGATCCTGATAATCTATTAGTAATTAGTTAGAAAAAGTAGGATAATCTATATAACTTTAATATATAATAATATAATTTATAATATAAGATCCTCTCTTTATTAATTATATCCTTAAGACTATATTCTATAACCTATTAGTAAATCTTTTCTAATTTAATTCTATATTCCCCTTATAGTCTATAATAATATCTAACTATATATAGAAAACTTCTTATAAGAAGACCCTTTAGTATAATACCCTTATTAATACTATCCTATTAAATCCTTTAATAATATAATTAGAATATAACTATTATAAATCCTATAGTTATAAATACTTTAGATCAGAGGGTTCTTTATCTTATTATTTCTACTATATTAAAAATAATTAGCTGTATTATAATACTTAGGGTCTTATACTAGGTTAGTTAAGATATATTACTAATCAGTATAGTAAACTAGAGTCTGAGCTAGAGGCAGTAGAGAAGGAGTATTATTATATAGATATAAAAATCTAATATCTTTATTAATAAAAGAAATTATAGTTAGATAAGATAATATAAGTAGTATCTTATAGAATTAATAGTATAGAGGAACTAGAGTATATTAAGTAAAAGGAGATAGAGGAGGTAGTCTAAAAACAGATCTTATCTCTAATTATACCTTTATCTGAGCCTATATTCTTAGAGATTAAGATTAATCCGGTATTTCTTTAGGAGGGTATAGAACTATCTCCTTCTTAGTTTATTAGGATAGGTATTTCTAATCCTAGTAATATTACTAAATAAGCTTCTAATAATCCTTTAAATATTTAATAGGTTCCTAAGTATTATTATTATCTATATATTCTTTCTACTTAACTAAATAGAATATCTATCTATTCCTAACTTTCTTTTTTAGAATTTTTTCTAGTTTAAATTCTTCTTTATAGATCTTAATTAGATAATCTTAGTCTAATATATTTTCTAATACTTTTTTAAGTAATAAGATATAAAAAACTAGATAGATATATATAGTATCTAGTAATAAGAGTTTATAGTTAGTATCTAATTTTTTCTTAAGAATTTTAAATAGTCT